TCTCCCGCCATGATGTTCAGCCTCACCCGTGAGCCCTTTATTCCTCGTGTACAATTGTTCTGGCAGATCTTCTAGTCACAGCAGTGAACAAGCTGACTAACACCACGGGATAGTGTTCCACTGTACACGCCCAGACCACATCTTCTCTGGCCATTCGTCCATTGATAGACACTGTCTCCACGGCCTGGCCATTGTGATGAGGGCCACAGTGGCCACAGGAGTGCAGGGTACCTCTTGAGATGCGGTTTCCGTTCTCTTTGGCTCTGCCTCCGGCGGAGGGATTGCTAAAGCCTGTGGTAGCTCTGTCTTCGTTTTTGAGGAGACTCTTATGTGGTTTTTCGTAACGGGTTCACCAATTTACACCCTACCAACGGTGCACGGGGGGGTTCTTTTTGTCTACTTCCTCACCCACAATTTACCTTTTGTCCTTTTGATAATAGTCATGCTGACAGATGTGACCTTGTGTCTCATTGTGGATTCGGATTTGCATTTCCCTGATGACTGGAGATGTTGAGCACCTTTTCATACATCCGCTGGCCATTTGAAGGCCATGTTGGAGTGGTATCTGTGCAGTCCTTAGCCCATTTTAAAGGCCTTGCTTTTTCCTATAGTGTCGGTGGGGTTCCTCGCCTATTTGGGGTAGTAACTGTACAGACCCCTGATCAGACACAGGGCTCACCAGTATTTCCCCTTTGGGAGCCTTGTCCACTCTGCTGCTCCCTGTGCCGTGCGGAAGCTCTTCTGCTTGAAGGACTCTCACTTGGGACCTTTGTGGTTGTGGCCTGTGCTTTGGGGACATATCTTCAACTCACTTCCCAGACCCATGTCAAGGAGTTTCCCTGGGTTTTCCTCTTGGGGTTTCATGTCCCTGGACTCCTGGGCCTGTCCTCGTGCCCTCGGAGCTGATCCTTGCACTTGGTGTGAGGCTGGAGCCTGCTGCTCTTCTTTGGCCAGTGGCTCTCAGGTCTCCCCAGGACCATATGGCAGCCGTCGCCCCGTCAGGGCGTGTGCTTGGCGTCCTGTTGGAGAGCGACAGGCTGTGGGTCTTGGGCCGCTCCCGGGCTCTTTGCTCTGCTTCGGTGGCCTCTGTCTGTTGACGCCAACACCATTCCCGTCTCGTTACTGCAGCCTTGGGATATATTTTGAAATCAGGAAATGTGAGGCCTCTAGCTTTGTTTTTCTTGCTCAATACTATTTTGCTACTCAGGGTCTTTCTTGTTCCCATGTGAATTTTAGGACTGTTTTTGTATTCACTAAACGGTTTTGAAGTTCAGGCTTTGAACCTGTGAAGTGTTGGGTCTTATTCTGACCCCACCACTCACTGATGGTGAGAACAAGCCCTGAGCCTTTGATTCCTCATCTTTAGGAGGGGAAAATTCTACTCGGTTTATTAGACATCTGTGGGCAATAAATATGAAATTATCATCTGATAGTTTTTCAATAAATGCTGCTTCTCTTTCCCTTGTTCTCCTGAATAGAATACTTTTAAATTTACTTCCTACTTTATACTAAGTGAAATCATCTTAGCTTCTGTCCTTATTAAATGAAAATATTTCTGAAAAATACTGGTTCATTGATTCTGTCTTTCACTAATTCACTGTAAAATTTGGCATCTCTTCACCTTCTGTGTGAAGGTTTTTCTTGTGAATACTGCTCTGCGTAACTGAGTATTGGAAATTGGGTGGGTGTGAGCTATAACATATTGTGCCTTTTTTATACATATTTATTTTTCTAAAACATAAGTGCATAAATAAAAAAAAGACTAAGAGTTTTTAACTTGCCTTTCAGTTGAGTTTGGTCTGACATGCCCACCCACCTCATTGACTGTCTGTTTGCTACGGTGTGTTTTGTTGTGTATATTTGGGTTATTTCGTGGCATTTGCAAACTTGGCTTGAACATCATGCCCAGACTGGGGAGTTTCAAGGCCCCTGGAGGAGGGAAGTGGGTACGTCGCGTTCTGTACCGCTGGGCC